CATTGGCCAATGGCGGGAAAACAAGCGGCAAAAAAAAAAAAAAAAAAAAAAAAAAAAAAATCCTTGAACAGCTGAAAGAAGCTGCTTTTCTACGCTCTCGTCTCTCTCTATCTTCATCAGCTTTCTTTGTGCTACCAACTGAACTGCACACTCACCATGTCCAAACCCTAATTTCCTGGGATTTCCTTGGAGAATTGTGCCCCAGATAGTTCTTCTTTATGAATCCATGTGTCTGCCATGAGAAGATTATCGCAGCTGAGAATACGTTTTGAAGGAGTATATTGGAGGCAGCAATGGTTGAGCTCGATCCATCAAAGAAAGTGGCCGATAGATATTTAAAGCGTGAGGTTCTCGGGGAGGGTACCTATGGTGTTGTATATAAGGCTATTGATACTCAGGTAGGTCTTGGACTACCTTTTTTAATATGATTCTGCATCAAGGTGGTATGCTTTCTTTGCGTGATAAGTTAATAACCGTTTGATGAATATGAAATAAAGTATGGGGATGGAAAAGAGAGGGGTAAGTCGAAAAGTTAGAGCTAAATTCACTGCAATTGATTTGTCGATGATATTGAGATTGCTATGGCAGCCATGGCGACTGCTTCTGGGGCTATTTGGAGTATTTCTTCGAGTTTTATCACATTGACTATGTTTCAATGTGGTGGAGTACCTGCTGCTTTTGCCCTAAGAATCAAATTTGTTTTCCTGAACTGTATCTCACGGTAGCTGAATAGGTGTCTGGACTTAAAGGCGTTAGTTCTTTTGTTTACTTGAAATTCCGATTGTTAGAAGCTTGAAAATAAGAACTTAAAACTATATATTCAGTTTCTATTAAGTCAAGAAAGAAGGGTTTTCAACTTGATTTATCCACGTCCTTTTTTTACTCTTTAGACAGGTCAGACGGTTGCAATCAAGAAAATTCGGCTTGGGAAACAAAAAGAGGGAGTAAATTTTACGGCTCTTCGAGAAATCAAGCTGCTTAAAGAGCTCAAAGATCCAAATATAATTGAGTTAATTGATGCATTCCCTCACAAAGGAAATTTGCATCTCGTATTTGAGTTTATGGAGACAGACCTTGAAGCTGTTATACGTGATCGAAACATATTTCTTTCCCCAGCTGACATAAAATCATTCCTTCAGATGACGTTGAAAGGACTTGCTTATTGCCACAAGAAATGGGTTTTACATAGGTACCCAAATTTTGTATGATTCTATTATTTTTGCTGTTTAGCTGTTCAAATCATATAGCATCTGGATACCTATGCTTTACTTTCTATTATGCTTGCTTGCACTTTACAGGGATATGAAGCCAAATAATTTGTTGATAGGATCAAATGGTCAACTGAAACTTGCAGATTTTGGTTTGGCTCGGATATTTGGGAGTCCGGATCGTAGATTTACTCACCAGGTATACTTCTTCTCCCTCTTTTGCATTATTGATAAACGCTGGTAAAGATTTATTGCTTTGGAATCTAAATTGCCATGTGTAGTAGGTGGTGCTTTTAAACCTGGGTGTATTCAATGACCTGGTTTCGTATTATAGATGGTTTTTTTTTTTTTTTTTGTTTGCTCGATGGTACAGATATTTCACCCCTATCCCTGAATTTTATTCATCTCATTCTTAACACGTCTGAATATTCATAATAGGTGTTTGCTCGATGGTACAGAGCGCCTGAGCTATTGTTTGGCACTAAGCAATATGGCTCTGCAGTTGATGTTTGGGCAGCAGCTTGTATTTTTGCTGAACTATTACTTCGTCGACCTTTTCTTCAGGCAAGTCTATATTTGTATCAATAGACGATCCTTTACATGGTGATGGCTGATGTTTAACCCATGAGTTGTTCTACCCTTTTCTGCTTGTGATATTTAAGCTTCCACATGTAAATAACTTCAGTACGAACTTAGTCTCATGCATTAATCAGTCTTTTTATTCATATCGGTACCATGTTGGTGCTCAAATTGGCATGCATGATACAATATATGAGACTTTTAGATTGTGTTTGTCCTTTTTACCCATTCTATTTTTTTCCTACTAGCAAACTCATTTGACTTCAATGCGAGCTCTCTTTTAATTACAACCACCCAATGTATATTTTGAGCTTCCAAATTAAGCATGGTACATCCACATGGTTGTGTACGTACAAATCTAGCTTAGAACTAGTTGCATACAATAAATTATTAATCTTCTATCTATTTTGGGCAATGAATTGGCCCCTGGGTTCTTGCTGAGTGTGAGTCATGTATGCAATGATAAACATGTCTCTATCAACATGGCTAGCCTTGCATTTCCTTCAGTGCATTAGACTTTCCAGGGTGTATTTTAGCATGAGAACTGATTTTGCTAATACTAATGAGGGAATATTTATCTCACAAATTTAGTAGCCCTTCGTTTATTAAGCTTAAAGTTATCAAGCCTAGGTATATATCAACTGTGTATGGATTCTGAGAAGAATGGACTGTAGAAACCTGAGTTTTTGTAGATGGTGTTGTTAGCATGTGGCATAGAGGTAGGTTCATAGCTTTAAGTTTAGCAAACTTGTATCTTCTTAACTTGATTTACCTTCAGATGTTATCCATTTGTCAATGGTTCGATAACTATACTCTTCCGAGAGCCGTAGGGCTTGGTCGCTGACAATTTTTTTCCATTATATTTTAAACCTGTACTTGCATATTGTTCTTGGATTCGTATTATTATGTAAAATAGATCTAAATTCAAAATTTTGGTTTCTTGTATTTCTTTTGATTGTTTGTTAAATCGTTTCTTTCGTTGACAGGGTTCAAGTGACATTGACCAATTGGGGAAGATCTTTGCAGCTTTTGGAACACCAACGCCTTCTCAATGGCCTGATATGTTATACCTACCTGATTACGTGGAGTTCCAATATGTTCCTGCCCCTCCCCTACGATCATTGTTTCCTATGGCTAGCGATGACACGCTGGATCTCCTATCAAAGATGTTTGCATATGATCCAAAATCTAGAATTACCATTCAACAAGCATTGGAGCATAGGTTTCCTTTTTAAAATATGAAAATATAATTTAGAAACATAGAGCTGTTTTCGATACGTTGCTTACAGTTTTTCTTTTGTAGATACTTCTCATCTGCACCACTTCCCACAGATCCTAGTAAGCTTCCAAGGCCTACTTCAAAGCAAGAACCTACGAACTCTCGAGGTTTGGACTTAAATTCAAATGAGGCTCCTAACTCTCCTCCAAGAAAGTCGAGAAGAGTAATGTCAGATCGTGAGGCTTTTGAAGGAAATGCATATAAATCTGATAGGCTTGATGACCATGTTAGTGAGCGAGAGGCAGCTGCTGGAAATACAAGCAAGAATGAAGCAGTGCCTATGTCGTTGGATTTTTCTGTTTTTGGTGGAAAACCTCCAAATAGACCTACAATTAACAGGTAAATTTTTCTTAGCGTAAATTGCTTAACCGATTGTCTACCTTAGAGGTGGAGAGAATCCTCCCTAAGAAAAGACTACAACAAAAAAAGCCCTCCAATTTCTAATAATCAACGCGAGGCTATAAGAACAACATAAATCATGGGATAGCAATCTTAGAGGTTCCCATAAATCGTGAGCATAACATGCAATCATAGATTTAATTAATAAATGGTGATAAATTAGTTCATGAATCAAATCCCGCTGAGAGGAAAGAGGCAGGTTATTTATTTATTTATTTTGAATAAGAAACGAAAATATGGTATAATATTTAAGTATATAAATATAGTTTTCATGACATCTAGAATTCTGAATAGTTTGTGTTTTCCCTTCTCTTGCAGTGCTGACAGATCACATCTTAAAAGGAAATTAGATCTTGAATTCCAACAATAAGGAGATTCTGTATCAGTGTACTGCAATATGAATTCGGCCTTTCAATTGAACGCTAGCCTACATCTATGAGGTACGTCTTTCGAGTTTTCGAACTTGAATTATTCTCTTCTTGCTCTGAAATCTCTATGATTGATTAGTTTTCCCCCCTTTCCTTGTGCCTTCCTTGCTAGTTAGTATTTAAAAGGGTTAGTGTTCTTCTCAAATGAGTGCTTGGAGAAGTGAATCAAAATTTCCATATATTTAAGCAACATTGTAACTCTCTTAATAGCTCCTCTCTTAATATTTAGATTGGTTCAAGATTTCTGGTGTTCATTCACTCCTTAGCTGGCTTAGATAAAAGAATCTTGCTGAATATCCCCAAATGATTGCTATTTGGTTCTTTTCCAGGGAAAATTGTGGAGTTACTTCCCAAGTGAAGACTGCCGGATGGGTTCATCTTTTACCCTCTTATCCCCTCATGCGACTGCTAAATTATACGGGTGTTCCATTATGTAATATCACATATAGCTAATTGAACTTGATTCATTTGATCCCTTATCAAAATGTTTGATACCTCTGCCTTGGACCATTTCTGCTACAATTCTGTTTGGGAAGTATAACACTTACAGCTTCGAAGCACTATTCAGTACACTAACAAAAAATGAAATAAAATTCATACTTGTGCAAGGATTCTCTCATATCTATTCTATCATGTGTGTCTGTGGTGATTATTATTTGACTAGTTTTGCTTGTCCTGGATCTCTCATGTCCATCCAGGATACGTTGAAGTCGGACCAAAATGTTTAGGTTGATCTCGAACCGTTCAGCAATGTCGAGGATGTTCTAGTCTTGCTCCACATACAGAGGGACCGTGTAATCCCGGCCCTGGTTCGAAGCCTCTTCAGCCTGAAAGAAAGATGAAGTTAAACAGATGCCAATGTGAGCGAGAAGATTCAGATCAAGCAATGAACAGTGCTCAAGGGTCACCTGTTTGTTCCAGTTTGTGCGAACTGTTATTCCAAGGAAGAACACCACTTGGACTAGAAAAGCAGATACAACACCCAACCAGAGTCCCTGCAGAAGAAATGGTTTAAGGGCCAAAAAAAAAGAGTTAAAAGATTGAGAATATGGGAACGTTTATGAAAGAGAATAGTCGATACCTTCCCTTTCATGTCTAAGACAGAATTCCCACTAGGTCAAAGGAAGCCAGATTGATATATGCGCCCATTTTCTGCCAACCACATCCTCTAGCAATTCCTGCATTTGTTTAACAAAACATCCAGTATTATAGATGCATTTGATTCGAGTGCAGATAATAACACATTATATACACGTTGCACGGATATGTAATTGAACTAATATATCTCGAACGATCATGGAATCGAGTTGAGTTGAGTATTTAAGGGGAAAAAAACTAAGAAAATATGCAATCTGAAGCAAAGTAGAATCCTTTCAACGCCCATTACATATCACCGTTAGCCTCACGGTTTTAAAAGTGTATACTAAAGAAAGGTTTTCACACCCTTATAAGAATGTTTCGTTCCCCTCTCCAACATAGGTAAGATCTCACAATCCACTCCTTTGGGGACCTAGCATCCTTACTGACACACCACCCGGTGTTTGGCTATGATACCATTTATAACAGTCCAAGTCCACCGCTAGTAGATATTGTCTGCTTTGGCCTGTTCCATATCATCATCAGCCTCACGGTTTTAAAATGTATCTACTAGGAAGACATTTCCACACGATACTTCGTTCCCACTCTCTAAGTAACGTGAGATCACATAAGCCCATTATATCTTCTTTTCTCTCTGCAGAACATAAATGCAAGCTAACATGAATAAGGACCTGAAAGAACGCTCTGAACACCGTCAAAGAAGCTGGAAACCGCTACAGCCGGCATCATAGTCGCAAGGCATCTCACAACTTCTTCTTCTTCACTATAAACTCGACCCCAGACATTGCGAAGCAGAATCATAAGAACTCCTACCAGAACACCTTCTACAACCACCATGACTAATGCAACATACGCTGCCATACGTGCTGCTCGTGGACGTCCAGCCCCCAACTCGTTCGACACCCGAATACTATCATTCAAAAACATATCAAACAAAACAATCCAAATATATCATCCAGGAAGCATAAGCTAGGACGATTACCTTACAGCAGCACTAAGTCCAAAAGAAATCATCCAGAACAATCCAAATATATTAAGGCTGGAACAACAAATTCATCCTTTTAAGAACAACATTGGATATTCATAATAAAGTTGATACCAGTCACCTTAGGAGGAGTACCAACCAGATAGAAAGTACTGAAGTTTCCAGCTTGGGGTTAGGCAGAAGACCAGACAAGATAACCATCATTTCAAATGTCCAAACTTTCAAGCTGTTGAAAATGATATCAATCCATTTATTAGAACATATACCCATTTTGGCTAACTGCTACAGAACAACAAAGAATTACCACAGCATAAGAGCTGAAGGAACTGAAATCCTAAGGAAATCAAGCACATTATGCAAGGCATCAACTGTAAAATCTGTCCATGTTTCTGAGCAACAAGAAGAGATCTTAACATAGAGTGCTATCAGACATACATTAATCCAATACGAGATCGAATTCGCCAGAGCGGTTCCTCTAATTCGCAGTTCGAATTCGAACACCAATATCCAGCATAATAAGATGTGGATTAAAGCTGCTATACCAGAACTTAGTACCATAGGGAAGACAATGTTTTGAGTTTGTAAGAATTTCACTAGGCATTGAAGCTGACCGTATGCGACAACGCTCGGGATCATGTAACGGGCGTATAATCCAGCTCCTTTGGAGATGTCCTGATCTTGGTGCAATGCAATTAGAATCATTTTGGTGTTTGATGTAATAAGGACAAGAAATATGCTGACAACTAAGAGGACGAACATTGCACATTGAGTATGTAGTCCTAGCATATGATATCTATCGCTTTGCGCCGAATGACTGCCCACATAAGGTATCCAATGCACTAGCCATACCCCTTATAAAGAATGCTTCGTTCTCCTCTCCAACCGAGGTGGGATCTCACACATGCAAAAGAATACATGTTGAAACCACAAATTTTAGGTTCGAGGAGAAATAGAGCTCACCAGCAAGCTAAAACCTGTGACTGAAACAAAAGAAGTTGCCATTGAAGCTGCAGCCAGAGCCAATTCACCAAGATGACCCACAAACATCAAAGAAATTATCTGTAAACTGTATTGTAACAGACCAATAGAAAATAAAGGCCCGGCCAACAGCAACTGTCTTTTCACTTCAATCAAGACTTCTCCTCCCTGAATGTCCATCATGTCTACTACTTCTGCTTCCTACAAGGACTTGACCTGTAACCATACGAAGGGATGGGGTGTATAGGTCTCGATCACGTGGTTGGAGTATCGATCTGGAGCTACTGCATATGCGATTGGGTCACCCAGGGATCAACTGTTGGGTCACCCAGGGATCAACTGTGAAAAGACATGAAGCAAACAACATATGGCTCAAAGCAACATTTTGCACTAGTAATTCGTGTTGGGCAAACATTACACAAATATTTTCCTTGGCTCAGAATATTTATCTGCAAGATCCAAGTGCAGTTTCAAGCAAAGTATTAGGCATAAAATTTGATCTGACTGAGAGAGAAAATAAACACGTTTTAAAAACTTTGAGGGGAAGTCCAAAAAGGAAAATCCAAAGAGGACAATATCTAGTAGCGGTGAGTTTGGACTGTTACAAATGGTATCAAAGCCAGACACTGGGTGGTGTACCATCAAGGACGTTGGTCCCCAAGGAGGTGGATTGTGAGATCCCACGTCAGTTGGAGAGGGAACGAATCATTTCTTACAAGGGTATGAAAACCTCTTCTTAATAGACGCGTTTTAGAAACCTTGAGGGGGAGCCCGAAAGGAAAAACCCAACGATGACAATATCTACTAGTGGTGGGTTTGAATGGTTACAAATGGTATCAAAGGCAGACACCGAACGATGTGCCAGCAAGGACGTTAGCCCCCAAGGAAGTGGATTGTGAGATCCCACGTCGGTTGGAGAGTGAATAAATCATTTCTTATAAGGGTATGAAAACCTTTTCCTAGTAGACGCATTTTAAAAACCTTGAGGGAAAGTCCGAAAGGAAAAGCCCAAAGAGAACAATATCTACTAGCGGTGGGCTTGAGTCGTTACAAATGTTAACGTCGGTGAGAAGGAAAACATACAGATTAGATAGGAACTCAAAGTAGCTAGAAGGAAAAGGGGAAAGAAATTAACTTGTAGTAAATTTGAAATGGTAAACAACAACTATAGAATCTCTTAAAAGAATACAAAAATCTGAAAGTGAATAGGTAACGGTCCAAGCTCACCTCTAGCAGATATTGTTCTCTTTAGGCTTTCTCTCAACGTTTTTAAAACGCGTATATTAGAAAGAGGTTTCTACACCCTAATAAAAGATAGTTTCGTTCTCCTCCTCAACCGATGTGAGACAGAGACCTACTTCTAGCATTCTCAAACTAAAACATGAGAACTCGCCAAAACAGGACTTACAAAGAAGAACTCGCCATTAATGAATAGACTTGAAACAACAGGAAAAGAAGTTGCTTACCCTGTTGTTATAAACCAAGCTTGGTGCCTTACCCTGTTGTTATTATTTTATAAATTCACACACATGCACAGCACCAAGTGTCCAATGTTTTGGGAAGTGTGTCGTAACCTGAAAAATGACAAAAGTAAGACGGTGGCCATTTTGGTACAGGTGATACCTGCACCTGGAATTATGGAGCTGTCTATGGCCTTTAACCTTGTTTGTTATTAAACTTCATGAGCCCCCAGACCAGAATTATGAACGTAGAGAAGAAACAGTGTCCTAAGAATGAAACATAAGACCTTAAAACAACTTATTATTGTTGTGTTGTATGGTAGGAAACATGTTCGCTTTATACCTTTTATGTGTTTGGTTGGCTTTCTTTTCTTATTATTGATTTGATCTGTTTGATTATTGGTAGTCTTTAGCTGGTTGGAAATGGTTAATGAATAAACTTAATCCATTATAGTACATGGACAAATTTTGAGTTAGATTCATTTGATAAATACATGTATTAGATTGTTCAGGTATCACTGTAACTGTAATAACCTAAGTCTACTGTAACTGTAATAACCTAAGTCTACTGCTAGTAGTTATTGTCTTTTTTGGGTTTTTTCTTTCGGACTTCCCCTCAAGGTTTTAAAATGCGTCTACTAGGAAGAGGTTTATACACCTTTATAAGAAATGTTTCATTTCTGTTGGCACATTACTCGGTGTCTAGCTATGATACCACTTGTAACAAGGGTGTGGAAACTCCTCCCTAGAGAATGCATTTTAAAACCTTGAGGGGAAACTCGAAAGGTCCTAAAGAGGACAATATCAGCTAGTGGTGGGCTTGAACTGTTACAAATGGTATTAGAGCCAGGTTTCGAACGGTGTGCCAGCGAGCACACTAGACCTCCAAGGAGATGGATTGTGAGATCCCATATCGGTTGAGGAGGAGAACGACACATTCTTCATAAAGGTGTGGAAACCTCCTAAAGGGAAAGCCTAAAGAGGACAATATCTATTAGCGGTGGGCTTGGGACTAGGAGGTGTGCTAGTAGGGACACTAGCCCTCAAGGGGGTGGATTGTGAGATCTCACATTGGTTAGAGAGGGAAACAAAGCATTCCTTATAAGGGTGTGGAAACCTCTACCTAGTAGACGCGTTTTAAAATCGTGAGACTGACGGTGATACATAACAAGTCAAAACAGAGAATATCTACAAGCGGTGGGTTTAGACAGTTACATTCTTACTTCCTCAGCCATGTGTTTCCTTCTAAACACAGGTGAGCGAGGCTATTAATTAGAGATAATAGACCTATCCCAGCGAGCCTCCCGCCCCGACTTCACATGAAATGGGAAGGGAGAGAGTCAGCTAAATCATAACTTCGAGTCGAATTCTCAAATTAGAGGAACCTTTATAATCTAACCAAAACCGAACAAAATATAAACACATGGAGATTGAGTGAGAAATCAAGTTGAAGTGAAAGAATCATCAGCTAATATTGCCCAAGAGTCATGCTACAAAAATGAATCAATGAGGGTTGGCCTCCACAATTCATTGATTTTGAAAAGAAAGTAGAGTTCAATACAAGAGATGACCAATCACAAAGCTCCTCCACCAACAAGTTTCATGACACAACATTCTCTGGAATTGTTGAGTCATAAACTCTTTCTGTAGCAATCTTTGCCTGAACAGCACAAACAAACACATTAGAAACATCAGATTTAAGGAATAAAGTAGAGATTTGAGTTTGGAATTTTACTTCTTGGTCCCAATCTGTGCGGATTGCAATGATAGCAAGAGAAAATGCTTGGAAAATGAGTGCCAAAATGATGCCAAACCACAGCCCCTAAGTAGAAAAAAAAACAAGATTTTAAAAAGAATTCGGAAAGATTAAGGATAAGTTATAAAAAAATGTCAGAACTTTGTTTTTTCAGTAGAAATCCTTTAGAATTTCGGACATGGCGACGTAAAAAATGGGATCCTATCAACTTGTTCCGACCTAGGATAATAAGCTCATGAGCTTAGTCTTACTTCACCGTCGAGAAATAAAAGAAGACTTCCATCTCCAAGTTTAACTTAGATGTAGCTCGCTTCTTTTTGGGTGTGAAGCAGCATCAAACAGCTCTCCCTGAAAAGGAGGTGATCCAAACTACGGCTACCTAGTTACGACTTCACTCTAGTCACTAGCCCCGGCATCCCCCTCCTTGCGGTTAAGGTAACGACTTCGGGCATGACTAGTGTCACGGTCATGCATGTCCAAGGCGTGTTGTCAATGGCCGCATGACAGATATCCCAGTCTTGCTTGTCCAGGACGTGTTGTCCATGGTTGCATGCTCGTTCCAAACCCCTTTTACATGCTTTCATCCTAGATAGGTTTTTACCATTCCATATTGAGTCAGTATGAGGGTGTATGACTGTTCACCAAAATCATGGCTAGACCTGCAAGGGCTAAAATGCCCAAAATGCACTATAGGGGATATGACTAATTGTCAACTGCTTCCTACCCGATAGTTATATGCAGTAAGCCGTTGTTGTTGCCTTTTTGCTTACGCTCCCATATAACACAATTTCCAATTTTTCAAATCTTGCTTTCAAAACTCTCATTCGAAATCTCTTTGCCCCCGTTTTCTAAAACTTTCTCCTTAAATCGGAGCCAGAAGCTCGAGCATACGTCGCTTGGCCGTAGGCGACACAAGAACGAATAGGCTTAACTCACTCGTTGCTGGGAAGTGAGTGCCGCACAATCGCAAGTCCGCTGTCATTAAAGTGCGATTGTGACAATCAACTCCCATAGTGTAACAGGCGGTGTGTACAAGGCCCAGGAACGAATTGTTCGGAACAGTGGGAAAGACCCAGAAAGGAAATTTGGGTCGTCATAACGTTTCAAGTCCCAATTTCCATCCGAAGTTCTAAGAGTTTTCTACTCCTATGCTAGTTTTGAAACGTTTATAAAAGGTCAAGAAACTTTTGAACTATTAAAGGTATTTGGTTCATATAATTTAGCTCGGAATTAACGACGCTGTTTACCCGTCCACCAATGTGCAAAAGAAAAGCAAGAAAAACTGCAGATGGGATTCCCACAATATAATATGATCCAAGATTGACAAAGGCACCAATCTTCTGCCAACCACAACCTCTAGCAATGCCTGCATTGTATTTATGCACAAACAAGTAGAGCCTTTAGAAGATGATAGCAGTGCAGACACTAAGTCAAGCCATAACAGAGTGCAGGCCTATAATAAAATGAGAACCTGAAAGCACGCATTGAAGTCCATCGAGGAAGCTGGACACTGCAACTATAGGAAGCATGCTGGCTACGTATTCAATCACTTCTGGTTCGTTGCTATAAGCATACCCCCAAACATTACGTATAAGAATCAAGGTAGTTCCAAGCAG